TGAGGATAATCAATTTCTATTAATTGCAAAAAATGCCGGAAATAGTGTATGATGCTAACCACGAATATACATCTCCATACGACAATTAGATCAAATTTAATGAAAGAAAAACCGAGTCATCGTTTGCGCCGGACAACCTAATATGTTATAGCAACGACTATTTTGCATTCAACAGCAAATCAATGAGTATTTTAAACATTATCAATGATCAACTATAATTAATCCGTGATGGGTATTTTGATGACGAATTGAATAATTAACAGCATTTACGACTAGTCTAAAATTACTTGAATAACAATTTCAATTATAGTTTTAGCGGTAAACTTGCAAATTTTCGATTAGCCTGACCTTTCCTTATGGTTTAGCATCTGAAATAGTGCGATTTTGTAAGCTTTTAGTGAATTTTAATTTTCTCTTTTCATAATTTGTGTATCAATTAATTACTTTGTTCATGCAAATTTGCTGTAATATTTTTCATTTTCGTGATGAATCAAAAGATTATTATAAGGATTCATCTGCTGAACGTTTGTAACCAACCATGTAACGTTCATTTTAATTGCTTTGAACAGATGAATTTAAGTCAACGTCAGTATTTCTTGATTCACTGGTAACTAACTAGCGTTAGGATTTTTTCAAAGCAAAGCAATTAGAGAAACTTACTTTACTTTAAACTAACTCTTACTTTCGCTTCTCGTTATGATCATGTAACCCGGAATTGTCTGAAAGTTGTCGAAGGTTACAATAATTGTGAAGTTTTACTGAAGTCTACTGTCATTTTGGTTGTCTTACAAAATATGTTAGTCGATATGTCACCATTGTGTTTAAATCTTGCACTTTATTCAATTTCTAGTCAGTTATCAATGTTTATTTTCTAATAAAAAGATTGAAACAAAATACTGATCATATGGCTGAGATGAATCTCATTGAATAGGCATCATGAAGTGCCGATATTTATCAGGTGACTAGTGTTTCGGCTTGATACAACCATAGCTTTGGCGAACCAGAACTGTAAGTAAATGTAAGTCAATTAGTAAATCATTGATCCAAAAACAAGCTCTTTTACCAACAGTCACTAGAAAATAGATACAAATAGCAGATTAAAAAAATTGCAATGAGTGATGAAAATATCAAAGCGGGCCTTATTGTGCTGGTTACACCATCTATTCATTTATACATTATGTATACATTTGTACAGTTACAGTTAAAATCTGGTTAGCAAGTTCATTACGTAATTTTCTATTACTAATCGTTTTTCTGTTCGTTATTACCTCATATAAAACTTGAGCAGATGCTTTGGTTTAAAGTGGTAAGATGTTGAATTGACGAATGATGAGTGATTTGTCATTAGAATCAAACGATCTTTTGCTTTAGCATTCATTTTTTGCTTTTAACTACTCAAACTCATCATTTAGATCTTGATCAAAAGAATTGATGATTAATGAAAACGAAAAGATGCAAGAATCAATTGGCAGAGATGGGATTAGAACAAAGCATTAGTTCCTTTTATGCTTGGGAAAGGAGTAATGAGCCGAGAGGAAGTATTAGTGGAGAAGGCAATGGAAAGTTGTGCTTTTCGAACCGTCATGAGTGGAGTCGCTGGTTACGGATTTGCAGCAACCTCGAGCATTATGATGGACTCTGATAACAGACTGTTAAAATGATTTTGCAGGACATGAAAGGAAGAATGTTGTCAAACGCAAAAAGTTTTGCCATACTAGGAGCAATGTTTGCCTGTACAGTACCGTGATAAAAGTCACTGGACAAATGGTACTTTAGCTGGTGGAATAGTTGGTGGTGTTATTGAACTACGAGCTGGTCCTTGGGCTGGTCTTTGGGGTGCAACTGGATTTGCTGCTTTTTCAACTTTGCATTTGTTGCTTGATTACTATTTCAGAATGTAGTTTTATTAAAATTTTGTTTCAAATTTTGTGTTTAATAGATGCTTATCTTTGTTATACTCATCGCTCATCATTCGTGAATTTCCCATCTTGGGATCCCACTGTGAAATTAGAACATCTTTTCGAGTTTAATACAGTAAGGTACCAGATAATGAGAATGCGTTGAAATAGCTTATTTACACTATTCGCCGGGCAACTTTTTTTCTTGATTATCAACTTTCTTTAACTAATCAAATTCAAGATTAATTGATTTTTAAACTGATTTCTCGAGATTCTTCATTGATATTTGGCGAAAGAAAATTAGATTCAGTTAATTAATAATCAAAGAAATCTAAAGGAAATTTAAATTTGATTTAACTCTTCCATTGAGGGGTCGTTGAAAAATTGATTCTCATTATCTGGTACCTTACTGTATCAAATAATCCATCATATTAATCGGATAGTTGCAATTAGTAGGACCCGGTGAATAAAGTAAATCTCCAAATTTTACTGCAAGTTTACTGTCACTCTGTTGGTCAAACGAAAGATGTTGCGACTCTTAATACACTCCGTGTTTACCAGTAATATAATATGAAGTTCTGATTGAAATCGCAAAATAAAAATCTTGTCAATCTTTTCCGATTGTACCGAGAGCAATATCGATATAAATTACCAACTAAAACGATTTAACAGAAGCACTGTTACTCAAAGAGCATAAATTTTCCTGGTTAACCCAAAAGGTTCTCAATCTGGTTAAGAACAGGGAAAAGGACAAATTAATTTGAATAGTGAATGGACGCAAATGAAAGAAATAATTTTTTAAATTATTATACACTTTTAAATGAATGTCATTTTCAGGGTTGAACTAGTTTTTTAGGATCAACTTGAATATTTACCCGCACTCAACTGATAGTCTTGCAGCACCCTGTAAACCTTTGAATAATGCTGACACCGGCGATTGAAATTAGTCAAGTAAACAAAGGTTTTCTTTTCAACCGAAAAAAGACAAAGATAAACCTTTACCAGCCTAAAGTCCAGGTAAACTAATTAATCTAATATGATTACAATTAAATTGGTCAGTTAAAGTGTAAAACAATAAGGGCAAGTGCGAGATATTGAAAGCTTCAACAGACTAACAGATAATCGTTCACCAGGCAACATTCATCAAAATTAAATCTTAATGAAACTTAGTGAGTAACAATGAAACAAATTACAAACAAGTGTGTAATCAAAGATTTATTTGTAATGAAGATGAAGATGAAGATGAACTTCAATGTAAAGTAGGACCATTTACTTTAAGATAATTAACCAGTTTCTGATATCAGATTCTTGAATACCTTTATTACTGTTGCTGTTGTTGTTTATTATAACTCTTTGATATTGTTAATATTTTGTAAGCTGGCAAAGGAAGAAAAAATGAGCGTAACATTGTGGTTATTAATTGTATTTTATTATTATTATTGTTATTTTCAAAAATTAAGTGTATTAATCAATTAATTCTGCAATTGAATATATGTTTGGGTATTGTAACATTTCTTTATGCGTTGAATTTGTATATTGGTTGGTGATATATGTCTTTGGGCTGTACAACGAAAGTGACCTATCGGTAACTGTTCCATCACCCCATCCAGTTAAATCATGGCCAATGCTTGATCAAAGCTAAAAGCTATTCCCATAGCACCACCAGATGGAAGTGCTTTTAAAGCATAAAATGAGTCACCCCATGGTGCTCCCAAGGTAATGATAGAGAAAACTTGATTATAATCAATTACAAAGTTTTTGCTATCATTACATTGGGAGCACCATGGGGTGGCTCATTTTATGCTCTAACAGTTACCGAAAGGTCACTTTCACTGTGCAGACCAAAAACATGTATCACCAAGCAATATACAAATTCAACGCATAAAGACATGTTACAATACCGATACATATTTGATTACATATATTCAATTGCAGAATTAATCAATTGATGTAGATTAGTATTGAGTATAATTAATTGCGTATATTAGGAAACAGCAACATTGGCATTCTATTTTTCATTTCATCTATCAGCTATCTCATTTTGTCAGACCAAGGGTTTTTTGATTAAAAGAATTGAATGGGATTTTTTTTCAAGAAACTTAAAGTCTCTTGATGTTAAGAGTACCAGAGTATAAGCTCGAACTGGATGGGATTTTGGTAAGAACGTCTCCAGTATATTCGTAAGCATATTTCCTGTTTTTGAGATAATCTACGAACGGAAAGAAAATAATTTTGATCATTATTCAATAAATGAAAACAAACACATGGATATATCTGATTGAGCAAACTAATTAATTAACTTACAGGTGAGTTCTGGCTAATGAACAGCAAAAGGTTATGAATTGTTGAACCTAGACCAGCTAAGGCACCCAAGACCTCAACATCAACCTTGCGAGAACACGTTTGACCATAAACAATTTGACTTGTTAAACAGTTGAAGAAATGACGCTTGAGTACCAGTTGTTCCTTTACACCCTCTAAATCTCAAGTCATTTCGGACACGTTCGAAATTCTTTAGATCCATTAGTAAATCATTGATCCAAAGACAAGCTCTTTTACCAACAGTCACTAGAAAATAGATATAAATAGCCGTTTAAAAAAATTGTTGAACACAAAACATATACGCTTTTTGACTCTTTCGAAGCACATCTTTTTCAGTGTCACTTTAATTTAGTTTTTACAGTTGATTTCGAGGATAAGTATTTTGAAATTAATACAGAGTTCGAAAGAGGTCTACAAAATACATGTAAACAAATATGGTAGACTGAAGGTATAAAAGGCTACATTTCATCGACACATCTTTCACCTACACTGCTCAGTTACAACTAAAATCTGGTTACCAGATTCACTACACAGACATTTTATATTAAATATATGATGAATTCAAGTGCTATATAAGATCATTGCTATCTAATCTGTCAGTCTTATAAGTTGAATATTGTTTTCAATTAATGTCGACAGGATTTCATTTCCATGTTTTCAGCACAAATCAGCTAAAATTTCCTATCACTAATCGTTTCTCTGTTAATTACTTCATATAAAACTCGAAAAGATGGTCTGATTTTAAAGTGGTAAGATGTTGAATTGACGAATGATGAGTGCTTTGTCATTAGAATCAAACGATCTTTTGCTTTAGCATTCATTTTTTCGCTTCTAACTACTCTTTATTTAGATTTTGATCAGAAGAAATGATGATTAATCAAAAATACAAGTTTGAAAGCAATTCAACCAGATTCACTAAATCAAGTGAGAAAAAATTATGTAACCTTATTTCAATTTTCATGGATTGAATAATCTCAACAATTTAACAACAATTTAATTAGTCTGGGAGAATAAGAATCTAAAGGGCGACCTGATAATAGAGTCCGCATTTTTGAAGCTTAATTGCAATATGATAGAATTATTTAATCTAATTTTTTTAAGAAAATTAGAATAGATACAAGTCTAAAAATTAGAGTTTTCCATTCGATGCATGAAAATATTCTTTTTCTACTGAATAATCTGAGTTCTTGCTTGAGTCCGGAAAAAAACTTTTGCGCAAATGTCTTTTTCTATTTTATTGAATAAATTCTGCAAAATTTTTCGAATGAACCCAAATTTTTGCTCAATTGTGTCTTTTTTAATGCTGATTCTTATGTTGTGTCCTAATAAGTCTAAAACTTTTAATTGCCCTTGCTATCGGGGAAATAGGTTGCGAGAGTTTCAGCTTTTTGTCTCTACTCAATTTCTCTATGTGTTTTTAACATGGGTTTGGCAAACTATTTTTAAAAAGAGCTCATTTACAGCCCATTTAAGAAAAAAATTCGTATTTAATTACAATAAATTATATATTAAATTAAAGAGCATATATTTGTGATTAAAATGCTGTATTATTTGTCAGGGTACGACATCCCTAACTTGCTGAAATTGCCGAATCTTCAGGAGGACTTTACTAACAGGTCGCCCTTTAAGTAACATAATCACGATTAGGTGAAAAAGGCTTCATTATAAGTGATCGGGCAACGGTTTACGCAATTATCTGCAAAAATAAATGATGATGCTATTACTTTTTATAGTACCATGGTGAAAGTCACTGGAAAAATGGTATTTTATCTGGTGGAATAGTTGGGGGTGTTATTTGAACACAGAATGGTCTTTTGGGTGCAACTGGATTTGCTGCTTTCCAACTTTGCTAGATTACTATTATTTCAGAATGTAATTTTATAAAAATTTTGTTCCAGAATTTGTGTTTAAATAAGGTACTTCAGAGTTAATCGAAACGGACTTTATTCAACTAATTTTTGCTCTACAAATATCAAGTGTCGGTAATATTCAAATTTAGTCTAGTTATTTATGGGTACAATTGTATAGTTGGAAATAAAATGAGAGGCCGTAACAAATTGCACTTTAGTATAAAGCTGGAGTATAGATTTATCGTAGACGTTATTGGGATTGATTTCATCGAAAAAATTTATAATACTAAACATGAAATAATCGTTTTTCTCGATTTTCGGGAAAAGAGAAGCAGTTTTGGAATCCAGTTCAAGATAGATATTCAGAGGAGGCAAGTAAAAATTATCATCAAGTTTATATGCCAATCGCATTAAAAAACAACGATTGTAATACGTAGACCAACTTTCGAAAAGCGTTTTATCCATTTTTCCGAATATTGGATGATCCATAGCCCTGTTCAACTTATCAAATTCTATATCTAGTTCAATATGCTTTGGATCGATCTTTATTGGTCCATGAAGCGTTGGTTTAGTTTGATTTTTAACTAAATAAAGATAACAATTATCTCTGTGGTCGAGTTGTACTTTGCATCGATGTGGAAATCTGTCAACGATAGTCTCGACGAAACTGTCATTTCTCCATTTAGCACTGCTATTACGATGCATCCATTGAAAGTCAACACTGGTCTTGATATTCATATAATAATCATGATAGATCGCACCGTAACCTGCTAACGTGTCATAATTATTTGAACCGAAATTGGAATGAATCAAAGATAAAACATAAAGAACTGCAATTAAATCAAGTTTTAGATCCATTGAGCACTTAATTGGTTGAATTTAACAAAAGTTTTCAAGCAAAAACAATTGAATGAATACAATGATGAATTTGTTGAACAACGTTTAAAATTAAGGCAAACAAAGACCTTTGTGTAGCTCAGCTCAAAATTGGGTGCGGGCAGACAAAGAAAGGGTGAGTCCGGGTTGCAATTGGCTAATAAAACGGCAAAATAATATTTATTTATGATCGGTTACTTTATGGTTACTAAAATAAAAAACTTAAATATTTTAAGGAATCAAATCATATATTTTCCTACCTCTTATAATAATCATTGCAGCATGAAAACTTTATTTTCATTAATATCCTAAATTGTTGAATAAATTTCACTGAAAACATTTATTTTACACCTTCAAGATGCTCTGGTTACTTGGTCGTAAAGGGAAGCGAAATTAGCCAACTCTAGTTACTTTACTTTGAACATAAGTTTACCGTTGGTTAGTTACCAGTGAATCAAGAAATATTGACGTTGACTTAAATTCATCTGCTGAAGCCAATTAAACCAAATTCAATGGATTTTAAAGTTTTGTTTTGTTTTATTTTACTGTTTCAACTCGGTGGTTCAGACTATAATTTTGATCCTAATGAATTTCCATATTATGGAGACTGTAAGTTTATCTTTATCTTTCATTAAAGTTGAAAATTTCAGTTTCATTTAAAATCAAAGTTTTCAAGTGCTAAATAAATTTTTAATAAAAATATTCTCCTCAGACGCAGTGGGTCCAAGATTTAACCTTCTTGCGCGGCTTCCACATGTTATGGGTTTGTATTTTATGATCGATGATGTGGTAATTCGTACTTTTCCAACTGAAGTAAACCTGTTTCATGAAAACACTGATTACACCAAGAACATGAGCATGGAACTGGAAAGCAATTGTGGTTCATCGAAATCATCATTTGATAAGACGGACGTCGTTATGTTGACATTGATAGAGCAGGATACTGATAATGTTACATCAAAAATTGTTAAATCTATTGAGATCGACCCTCTTTCAGTTGATTTTCACCCTCACAATCTGACCATGGAAAAGTTCAAATATCTTATTCAATACGTAATGAAGAATATTTGCAATCGGGATTATGATTTGTCTTTGCGTAATTGTAAATTTGACCAGAAAGATACAATAGTGTTGGCAGAAATGGAAAAAATGATCAAAACTTTGAAATATCTTCGTCTGTTTGGCTTTATATCACCCACATGTCGATTGTCTAGGTTGAAGAGGAACATAATTCTTGAAATGGATAAAGAAACCGCTTCATTATTCCCTGAATTGACTGAAAATCACCATTTTATTGCACATTTCATTGATTTCAAGGGTAAAAAGGCTGCAACTCGAATTATCGATGAATACAAAATTGTTTCAAATAACTGAATTGGCTGAATAATTTTGCTGTTCAACTCTTTCATTTTTATGCATCTACCTTGTTGTAAGATCAACAGATTATTCTTGATTTTAACAGTTTCAATCTTCCCTCTTATCTCCAAATTAATTATCATTTCATATGCTAATAGTGCTCATCCAAACTGAATAATTAAATAAACTAAAATATCTGCAATTAAATGTCTTTCTCATTTTAATTTGCCATTTGCATGGCTGATCCTTTGAAATTTGTCGCGGCTACAGTTTCAACAGACTAATAGATTTACCAGGCAACATTCACCGAATCTTAAACGTTGAGACTTCATCTCTACCAAGTTAGCTGCTTGGGTTTCAACTTATGGGCCAAATTAAAAGTAACTTAAAAATGAAAAATTTCGTATTATATTAAAGCTTTATCAAAAGTTAATTGGTCTTCATATTGAAATCGTCAAAATACAAATCTTGCAATATTTTCCGAGAGCAATTTTTATATAAATCATCAATATAAACGATTTACCGTGATTTAACCACAGAAGCACTGTTACTCAAAGAGCTTAAATTTTCCTGGTTAACTCAAAAGGTTCTCAATCTGATTAAAACCAGGAAAAAGACCAATGAATTATAACAGTGAATTGACGCAAATCAAGGAAATGATTTTGCAAATTATTATTCACTTTTCAATGAAACTCAGTGAGCAACAATTAAACAAATTACAGACAAGTGTATAATCAAAGATTTATTTGTAATGAACATTGGGAGATGAAGATGAAGATGAACTTCACTGAAAAATAGGATCGGTTATTTTAAGATAATTCACTAGTTTCTGATATCAGATATCTTTATTGTTTAATACTTTTATTACTGTTACTGTTATTGCTATTATATTTGATATTGTTAATATTTTGTAAGCTGGCAAGCGCAAAAAAAGAGCGTAACATTATGGTTATTAATTGTATTTATTTATTATTATTATTCATTTGTTATTTTCAAAAATTTATTGCATTAATTAAACAATTCTGCAATTGAATGTATATAATCAAATATGTATGGGTTTCAATACCGCTGGATTAATGTCGAAATCTCTTAGAGTTGCATTTAGAAGTGCTTTAAAGCATTAAATGAGCCACACCATGGTGCTCCCAATGTAATTATAGAGAATTGGGAGCACCATGGAAGGGCTTAATTAATGCTTTAGTCGGTGGAAAATGTCCAATAGATGATCACGATTTAACTGGATGGGGTGATGGAACAGTTGCCGAAATATTAGGAAACAGCAACATTGGCTTTCAATCGAGTACCAGAATATAAGCTTGAACTGGATGGGATTTCGGTAAGAACGTCTTCAGTACATTTGTAAGCATATGTTCTGTTTTAGAGATGATTTACGGAAGGCAAGAAATAATTTTGATCATTATTCAATGAATGAACCTAGTGACTAGTTCATCAAGTAAGTTCATTGTTAAACAGTTGAAGAAATGACGCTTGAGTACCAGTTGTTCCTTTACAGCCTCTAAATCTCAAGTCATTTCGGACACGTTCGAAGTTTTTTAGATCCATTAGTAAATCATTTATCCAAAGACAGGCTCTTTTACCAACAGTCACTAGAAAATAGATAAAAATAGCAGTTTTAAAAAATTAATGAACACAAAACATATACGCTTTTTGATTCTTTCGAAGCACATCATGTTCAGTGTCACTTTAACTTTAACTTAACTTCAACTTTAGTTTTTTACAGTTGATTTCGAGGATAAGTATTTTAAAATTATTACAGAGTTTCGAAAGAGGTCTACAAAATACAACAAACATGGTAGACTGAAGGTGTAAAAGTCTACATTTCATCGACACATCTTTCACCTACACTTGCTCAGTTACAACTAAAATCTAATTACCATATTCACTACGAAGACATTTTATATTGAATATATGATGAATTCAAGTGCTATATGAGATCATTTTTATCTAATCTGTCAGCCTTATAACTTATAAGTTATAACCTGTGTGGATAAATTATGGGACTTTAACCCATACAGATACATTATAAAAAGTCCCATAATTCATCCACACAGGTTAAAATGAATATTATTTTCAATGAATGTCGACAGGATTTCATTTCCATGTTTTCAGCATAAATCAGCTCAAATTTCCTATTACTAATTGTTTTTCCGTTAATTACTTCATATAAAACTCGAAAAGATGTTCTGATTTTAAAGTGTTAAGATGTTGAATTGACGAATGATTGGTGATTTGTCATTTGAATCAAACGATCTTTTGTGTTAGCATTTATTTTTTTTGTCTTCAAACTACTCAAACTCATCATTTAAATCTTGATCAGAAGAAATGATGATTAATCAAAAATACAAGTTTGAAAGCAATTTAACCAGATTCACTAAATCAAGTGAGAAAAATTATGTAACCTAATTTCAATTTTTATGGATTGAATAATCTTAACAATTTAACAACAATTTAAAGACTTTATTTATAAAGTTAAATACAAATCTTATGCGTTAAAAGGATCTTCATTATTGAATGAATTAGCTTACAGTTGTTAGATTTCATTCGATGTGCAGTCATACATGTATCATGTTATAGTCCATAATTTAATCTATTGTTTGCCTAAGAAAAATCATTGTATCAATCAACATTCATCGTAGTGAATTATTTGTTAGTGCAAATGGGAAATTTATTTACCAGGTTATTTAAAGTTTATTTGTCAAGAAATGGTTTGAGATGAGTTTGTACATTTACAGCCGAAAAATCTTAACCAAAACGCGCTAATGGAGAGTTATTAGATTGCATTGAATTACTAGTTAATAAAGAATTAAATTGTTACAAGAAAGACGATTGTAAGTGATGCTATTCTCGAGATATCGAGGCTCAAAGTTTAAGACCAGTGGCATAAATCAAGATTACTGTTGCTACATTGGTAAAATAGTTTGCTCTATGATGTGACCCAACAATTTTTATGGATCCATAATAAGTTTCTTTTCTCTAACTCTTATGGTCACAGAATGAGGTCGGTTCAATTGATTTACTGGAAATTGAATAACATTCAAGATTATAACAAGTGAACAACAAGATTTCAGTTTAATCAATTATTTAGTTTTCATGAAATATGTATCATTAATAATCTGATGGATTAGGGTGAAGATTGAAACTGATAGAATGAGATTAATTAGTTGATCTTACATTATATTGAAATGAAAATTATGTCAAGTCGAACCAAGAAAAGCCCTGAATATAAAAATGAAGAGTTGGACATAAAAATTCATTTATTCAGCGGTTTGGTATAATTTTATATTCCCCGATTACTACAGACGTGGACAGTTTTCCTTTAGAATCAATGAAATTTGCAATAAATGAGTGATTTTTAGTCAATTTAGGGAATAATGAAGCAGTCTTGTTATCCATTTCAAGAGTCACCCACTTCTGCAACTCTGTCAAGTTACACTCCATTGATAATAAGTCGAAAAGACGGAGATATTTCATAGCTCTGATCAGTTTTTCCGTTTCTGCCAAAACTCTTGGATAGTCGACTTCTTTATGCACAAATGTACAATTATTACTTTCATATGAAGCACATCTCTTTTCTAAGCCTAAGTCTCTAAATGTAAACTGCGGAAACTTAGCCCTATTGACTTTGTAGTATTCGCAATAAAAGTTAATACATAACGAAGTGGGAAAATCCATTAGATTGCGTTGAACATGTTTTTTGAACGGTTCCATGGTTATTTTGTGAGGGTAAAAATCAACTGAAAAAGGATCGATTTCAATAGATTTAACAATTTTTGATGTAACATTATCAATATCCTGCTCTATCAATGTCAACATGACGACGTCTTTCTCATCAAACATTGATTTCGAGTAACCACAAGAGCTTTCCAGTTCCAAGCTCATATTCTTGGTATATTCAGCGTTTTCACGAAACAGGTTTACTTCAGTTGGAAAAGTGCGAATAACTACATCCTCGGTCGTAAAATGCTCCAAAGCGATATTATGTGGAAGCCTCAAAGGGAATTTAAAATTCGGTTTCAGTCTATCGGCTGCAAAAGAATATTTTTTATATAAATTTTTTTTTGTCTAATACTGGAACTAATCGTAATGTCTGGAACAGAAAAGTGTCAATCGATAGAGTAAGTTGAGCTATGAAGAACTGTTGAGGCTTTTCCGTATTAGTATCCTTACACCTCAACCGCTGGGATAAGCTTTAGTTCATATTTTCATTAATTTTCAAATATAATTCAATTCAAAATGCCCAAATTTTGAACCCAAATCAACTAACTCTATTGATTGGCACTAATCTCATTCAAATAAATTCTAGTGCTTAAGATAAGCCCCTAGAAACGATATAATAAAATAAAGATAAACTTACTGAACCTGGGGTCTTCAATGGCATTGTTACCATAAAATGAAACAAGATGCAATATGAAAAAAGAACAAAACAAAACTTTAAAATCCATTGAATTTAGTTTGTTTGGTTTCAACAAATAAATTTTAGTCAACGTCAATATTTCTTGATTCACTGGTAACCAACCAACGGTAACATTTTTTTCGCAGCAAAGTAACTAGAGTTGGCTACTTTCGCTTCTCTTTATGACCAGTAACCAGAGCAAATTAAAGGTGTAAAAAAATATTTCAATAGAAATTTGGACAATAATTTATAATAATCGACAAAAATACATTTGTCAAGTTGTAACGATTTCGTGATTTCTTCAAACATTAAAGTTTCCAATTTGGTAACCATAAATAACCGATCATAAATTATTTCATGCTGCGCTTTTTTATACAAATTTCAACCCGGACTGACCTTTCTTTGTCTGTCCGCACCCATTTTGAGATGAGCTACATAAAGGTCTTTGTTTCAAGTCAATTACTGTTAGACATTTTGTTTTGTTTCCTTTGCTTCTGAATAACCCCAACCAGTGTAATCGGTCAACCGTTTTTGTCTCGAACGTGCTCAATGGATCTAAAACTTTATCTGGTTATCCTTCTTCATGTCTTATCTTTGATTCATGTATCAATTCAATGTGAACCATATACGTTTTCTTATGGTGCGGGTTATAATGATTATTATATGAATATCAAAACAAGTGTTGACTTACAATGGATGCATCGTGAAGACAATGCTCAATGGAGAAATGATAGTTTATTCGAGGCCGTTGATTGCTACCCTGATCGATGCAAAGTACAACTGGACCACAGAGATAATTGTTATCTTTATTTAGTTAAAAATCAAACTAAATCAACGCTTCATGGACCAATAAAGATAGATCCAAAGCATATTGAACTAGATATAAAATTTGATAAATCTAATAGAACTATGAATCATCCATATTACGAATGGGAAATTCGTGATAAAAGGCGGTTTGAACTTCGCTCTATGTATTTCTCGCGTTGTTATCTAATGAGATTAGCATATAAATTGGTTTTTGATTTATGTCGTATTCCCCTGAATATCTATCTTGAACTGGATTCCAAAACTGCTTCTCTTTTCCCTAAAATCGAGCAAAACGATTATTTCATGCTTAATATTATCAATTTTTTCGACGAAATCAACCCCAATAACGTCTTCAATAAATCGGTACTCTGGCGATATTATCCAAAATTACAATATGTTACAGCTTCCCATATAATCTCAAACTATACAGTTGTACCAATGGAAAAATTCAACAAAATTTAAGAAAATGTGTTCAATGTTTTACATTTTATCAAAACTGAATCATTAAATAAACTAAAACTGATATTTTCAATTAAATGCTTTTCCCATGCTTTATGCTTTCAATCTTTTAGTGAGTGAGTTTAGGAATAAATTATCAATAAAAGGTGAATTTTATAAGCCTTCTGGTTCGTGTTTTCGTGCCGAGCCAATTTTGACAGAAAATTGCTCAGTAACCGTACTCATAACCTTAACTTTGTGCATGAGATAATGATAACAAAGTTGAGATCGATTTCTTGGTCATCCAACCTTTAACCAGTCACTCTCACGGGAATAGGTTACTTTTGATCCTCCACTACTCAAATAACCGGTTAATGGTAACCGTTTTTGTCGATTATATAAGAATGAAAATGCGCCAATCGTTTATGAAATAGTGAACCAGTTAAATTGACATTATCAACTTGCAGTTTTACTTGTTGAATTTTTTCATCTAATTTGTTTTTATTAACCAGTAATTTATTTTGCTTCCATAGGTGCACAAAAAGCGATCGAAGTTTCAAATTTGACTTCGTTTTCTAGAAACTTGCTATTGGATGAATTATTTAAAAGCACCAATAGACTCAGTTTACATGTCCCTGCAAACCCACCAAGTCTCAACCCTTTACGTAAATTTTCGAGTCTTTATGCAATTTTTTGCATCACATTTGCAAGTTCAACCAGAAAATTGGTTTATTCACCATTGAGTTGAGATGAGTTTGTTTTGTTGAGTTATTGTTGCTTGTGCATTTACGAAAAGCGATCGAAATCGCAACTTTTAACTCGATTCTCTCGAAAACTGTTCATCAGAGAAATTTTAAAATGACGCAAGTGGCTTCAGTTCTTATGTTTCTACAAACCAATAGAGTCTAAATTTGAAGTAAATTGACTTTTAACCGAGTAGACACATCATGATGATGCCAAGAATATAAGATCAGAACAGAAATCAATCGATCGCTTCACTTCAATTTTCTTAATATCAAGCTCTTTATAAGAAGACAAATAATCACCTCGAAATTGAATGGCATCTAAGATTTAAACAAGTGTATTAAAAGCGTATTATGTTTTGTGTGCCGTGCAAAATAACACTAGACTTTCAGTTAAAACTCTTAATGATAGTTATATTGCGTTTGTTAACCGACTTAGTTGTGACAACGTTTAAAGCGCAACCAATGTAAATGGCAAATAAAAATGGAAAAGACATTTAATTGTAAAAATTGATTTTAGTTTATTCAATTTAGTTTTGTTTAAATATTTTAGTGTATCATTAATAATCTAGTGATTTTGGGTGAAGATTGAAACTGATAGAATGAGATTAATTAGTTGATCTTACATTATATTGAAATGCAAATTATCGTCAAAACGAACCAAGAAAAGCACTAAATATAAAAATGAAGAGTTGAAAATAAAAATTCATTTATTCATTGGTTTGGTATAATTTGATATTCCCAGATTACTACAGACATGGCCAGCTTTCCTTTAGAATCAATGAAATTTGCAATAAATGAGTGATTTTTAGTCAATTTAGGGAGTAATGAAGCAGTCTTGTTATCCATTTCAAGATTCACCCTCTTGTGCAACTGCCCCAAGTTACACTCCATTGATGATATGTCGAAAAGACGGAGATACTTCATAGCTCTGATCAATTTTTCCGTTTCTGCCAAAACTCTTGGATAGTCGACTTCTTTATGCACAAATGTACAATTATTACTTTGATATGAAGCACATCTCCTTTCTAAGTCTAAGTCTCTCAATGGAAACTGCGAATGTTTAGCCCTTTCGACTTTGTAGTGTTCGTAATAATAGGAAATACATGTCCGAGTGAGATCATCCATTAGTTTAAGTTGAACCTGTTTTTTGAACGTTTCCGTGGTTATTTTGTGAGGGTAAAAATCAACTGAAAGAGGATCGATTTCAATAGATTTAACCATTTTCGATGTAACATTATCAATATCCTTCTCTACCAATGTCAACATAACGACGTCTTTCTCATCAAACATTGATTTCGAGTAACCACAAGAGTTTTCCAGTTCCAAGCTCATATTCTTGGTATATTCAGCGTTTTCACGAAACAGGTTCACTTCAGTTGGAAAAGTGCGAATAACTACATCCTCGGTCGTAAAATACTCCAAAGCGATAGTATGTGGAAGTCTCAAAGGGAATACAAAAGGTCTCAGATTAACACCTGCAAAAGAATATTTTTTATTAAAAGTTTCTATCTAACAATGGGAACTAGAATAGATAAAGATAAACTTACCGAGCCAGCGTTCTTCAATGGCATTGTTACCATAAAATGAAACAAGATGAAACATGAAAAAAGAACAAAACAAAACTTTAAAATCCATTGAATTTAGTTTGATTGGTCTCAATAGATGAATTTAAGTCAACGTCAATATTTCTTGATTCACTGGTAACCAAACAACGGTAACATTTTTTCAAAGTAAAGTAACTAGAGTTGGCTACTTTCGCTATTCTTCTTGACCAATTAACCAGAGCATCTTAAAGGTGCAAAATAATATTTCAAAAGAAATTCGGACAACAATTTATAATAAATTGACAAAAATACATTTTGTTGAGCTCAAACGATTACGTGATTTCTTAAAACATTAAGGTTTCTAATTTGGTAGCCATAAATAACCGATCATGAATAATTTCATTCTGCGCTTTTTATAAAAATTTCAAACCGGACTGGCCCTTCTTTGTCCGTCTGCAGCCATTTTGAGCTGAGCTGCATAAGTGTCTTTGTTTCAGGTCAAGCTTTTTTTAAAATTTGTTCAATTACTGTTAGACATTTTGTTTTGTTTTCTTTGCTTCTGAATAACCCCAAGCAGCGTAATCTTTCAACTGTTCTTGTCTCGAATGTGCTCAATGGATCTAAAACTTTATCTGGTTATCGTTCCTCATGTCTTGTCTTTGATTCATGTATCAATTCAATGTGAAGAATATATGTTTTCTTATGGTGCGGGTTATAATGATTATTATATGAATATCAAAACAAGTGTTGACTTGCAATGGATGCATCGTGAAGACAATGCTCAATGGAGAAATGATAGTTTATTCGAGGCCGTTGATTACTACCCGGATCGATGCAAAGTACAACTGGACCACAGAGATAATTGTTATCTTTATTTAGTTAAAAATCAAACTAAATCAACGCTTCATGGACCAATAAAAATCGATCCAAAGCATATTGAACTAGATATAAAATTTGATAAATCTAATAGAACTATGAATCTCCCATATTACGAATGGCCCGATAAAAAGCAGTTTGAACTTCGCTCAGGGTACTTCTCCCGTTGTCATCTAATGAGATTAACATATAAATTGCCCCTTTATGCATGTCATATTCCTCTGAATATCTATCTTGAACTGGATTCCAAAACGGCTTCTCTTTTCCGTAAAATTGAGGAAAACGATTATTTCATGCTTAATATTATTAATTTTTTCGACGAAATCAACCCCAATAACGTCTTCGATAAATCGGTACTCATGCGAATGTTCCGAAAATTACAATATGTTACAGCGTCCCATATAATCTCCAACTATACAGTTGTACCAATAGAAAAATTCAACAAAATTTAAAAGTTCTCATCACGCAAAAGATTCAAAAAAAGTGTTCAATGTTTTATATTTCATCAAAACTGAATGATTAAATAAACTAAAACTTATATTTTCAATTAAACATTGAGCGCTCAGTAACCGTACTCATAACCTTAACTTTTTGCATGAGAAAGTGATAACAAAGTCGAGATCGATTTCTGTTCATTTATTTTTCTTTGCTATTACGGTTACCTTTAATCAGTTACTCTTATAGGAGTAACCGGTTACTTTTGATCCTGCACTACCCAAATAACCGGTTAATGGTAACCGTTTCATCTCGTTTTGACAAGCTAAGTTTAATTATCTCAATTAAATCGCCTTGTTTTATTGTTATCAGTTTTATACTTAGTTATACTTGCATTTCTTGTCGATTATAAAAGAATGAAAATGCGCCAATCTTTTATGAAATAGTGAACTAGTTAAATTGACATTATCAACTCGCAGTTTTACTTGTTGAATTTTTTCATCTGTTTTGTTTTTATTAACCATTGTAATTTAACTGAATATCTATAAATCATAAATTGTGCTGTCTGGATGGAGGAAAGGAAGCGACCCAAGGGTTGTGGGACAAGTGGTAAAGCTGGTGATAAGATGGATTCGCTCAGTGATGAGGTACGTCAAGACATAAAGGATGCGTTTGATATGTTCGATCGAGATGGTAAAGGAACCATAGAGTTAACCAACTTGAAATTAGCTATGAGAGCTCTTGGCTTTGAACCAAAAAAAGAAGAGATAAAAAAAATTACTGCGGAATTTGTTAAAGATGATAAAAGTATGGTTGCCTATGATGATTTTTGTAATCTCATGGCTCGTAAAATTTGTGAAAAAGATACAAATGATGAGATCATTAAAGCCTTCCAGTTGTTCGATTTGACCAATTCAGGTAAAATAAGGTTTGAAGATTTGAAAAAAGTTTCACAAGAGTTGGGTGAAAATATAAACGATGAAGAGCTACAAGAGATGATCATGGAAGCTGATCGAGATGAGAATGGTTACGTTGATAAAGAGGAATTTCTTCGCATCATGAAAAAGACTTGCCTCTATTGAATAATTTTAATGCTGAACTCATGATAAATAATAAGCGCACAATTGCAACAGTATTGTTATAACTCTATCGATAAATTGCTTCAATTTGCATAGAAACATGTATGCTTGCTTGGTGAAAAATTAAATCTCTCCAAAATTTATATGACCAGTTTCTTGAGCATGGATACGCGCCGCTTCTTGACCTTGTAATGCAGTATTACAATCTAAACATCTCAGAGTGAAATTTTGAACATCAGTAAATTGTCTACTTGTTCTTGCTTCATGGGCAAGCTCCAAAGCCAAAGATAAAATTATATCATCAGATTTAGGGAAAATGGTTTGTATTTTTTTACTAGTCCCATAAGGAGAGGGTTCCAACAACAAAGGATCATAATGAATTCCGTCATAAATCACGAGAATTCGATTGGCATAGTCTTTATCTTCTCCAAAACGGTTAAGTCGAGTATTTTGAGTATCAACAACAACAATCTCAATAGAGTAGTGAGCAGAAAGAATGGATATCTCTATTGCACCTCCCCAATGGGTTTCATTAAGAATCCAAGTAACATAGTCACGATTAGGTTTTCCTAAAAAGGCTTCATTATAAGTGATCGGGTCTCGGGCAACGGTTTTCGCAATTATCTGTCGTAAAAATTTTCCAGATGCTTCTTCATATCTGCCATTTGTAAGGCAAAAGTTAATACTAGTAAAAAGGCATGAATTATTGGCTGGAACAACATGGCGCATCAATACACCTTTACTCGGTTGTACAGGCACGTTATACGATTGTGTAGGTCTCGTTGGTTTAGTTGGAAATGAACTTGGTTCTAAAGGGGTTGGTTTAGAAGCATATGATCCTCTATCAGCAGATGAACCTTCAATTATCAGCATCTCCTTAGATGAAGTAATTGCCTCGATGAGTGGTTTAGTTTCATCCGTTAAATCAATGGGAATCGGCGGGAAACCACGACGAATAACTAATGTTTCAGGGTGAATACCGGTAACACTGGATATAACTTCTTTCATCTCTTTTATGGTACTTGTTTCATATAAAGATTCAATTTGAATCGATCCAGTTGCAGTTTTGCAACGTAGAGGTAGAATTTTTGGAGTCATAACAATAATTAAGTAATATTGAATATGGGGCGCTAAAAGGAGAGAAATTTACAAAAATTAGAATCTAAAAATTTAACGTAATTTAACAAAATTTATACAATTAATTTCAGATTGAACAATAATGACGTATTTAACAAGATCAAATGAAGGGAATTACATGAAAAAAAACAAAAAGTTAACAGTCATACCCATTTATTCAATCAAGGTGATTAAACCGAGAGATGTCACTACAAAGAGATGAAAGATATGCAATGAAAAAAGCGGATTTTTTAAACACAATTTAATACTACAATGTAACTGTAATATGAGACTTGATTCAGATAAATCAAAGCTTAGCATAATCAGAGTTTCATGAACTCTTTTGGAACGACAATTGATCAAGTTTTAAGATATTTTTTACCCTTCTTTCAACTTCTTTTGCTCATGTTGGTAAAAGCTTAATTTTTAAGTAAAATGTCTTCATCAACTGTTAGTTGCATTTGAACTTTGTATTGGTTAAAAATTGTATAAAATGGACTTTAGCTGAATAAAGAATGCAATTCTGATTTAATAATTTTAAATTATTCCAAAAATTATTAATTAAAACTAATATTCTAACTTTAATCAAACGTTAGTTTTCACATTTTTACCTGATAACTGTACATTTATGGTCAACATGATAACTGAACAAATCAAAAGAGGAATAAAATGAGTAAATTTTGAGCTTTTATTTATTCAGATCAAATAACCTCCCATAGAGGGTTGATTAATAAAGACGGTAAATGTTAACGTAACATGAATGATTTTAAATATAAAAAACCATTTTTCAATAAAAATTTTCAATTTATAATGAAGATTCTCAAATTACTCACTTTGTCAAACACTTAGAAAAAACTGTGAGAAAGACTTTAACTACTCAGAAGTACGTTATTGATTGTAAACATAAAGAACCTATGGCTGAGGTTCAGTTCTTAAAGATATTATACACTACAGTAAAAAAATATATTTTGGTTAAAACTTTCATAATCAAATTATTTTGAAGAAATTAAAAGCTAAAAATTTGTTTCAATAAAACTCTTGGGCTAAAAAAGATTCATAGATGGCACGGCGAGCAAAAGATGCGCCACTTTTGAATAAACTACATATTTTTTGGTTTATTTCATCAAAATATTGAATACATTAGCGATTTTCTTAACAACGAAACGCATAATGAGGACTGATTTTTTGGGTTAACTATTCATAGTTATCATAACGGTATGAAAGACTCTGATATTTGTTTGTAAGTTTCCACTGTCATTATCAGACGGTCATAAATTTTCTCGGTATTTCAAAAAGTCAACTGATGTTATTACTTTATAAATGTTTATACCGGTATTTGTTTTTACTGATTTATCAGACTATTTCTAACAATAAATAATTCAACTGCGATTTTGGAAATTCACCTTGCCAACCCAATAATCTATCTGCTGTAAGTTTACCTTCCATTTTACATTTACATAACTCATGAGAATTATGCTTATCCCTCCACCTTGCTTACACCACAACAATTCAGATTTGACTATTACCAGGACTATTATGACAGGAATTTTCATAATCTCTAAATTGGCTAATATAATTATTGACTCCTTTGTTACTAAATTTTGACATTGGTCTATGAGCATGAAATAGTAAATAGACTCATGCAACCATTTCGCTTATTATTCAAGTTTTTTATTACCAGATTAAAGCGTACTAAAATTTTTCGTATGGCAATGACAACTTGTGAGTTTGAAATACTTCTTTTGGTAAATGTCAGATTTTCATCCAAATCTAGAGCCTGTCTCGAATCCAGTGAATTAGCTGTAATTATTGAACATTAATCTTGTTATTATATTTATTTATTTATTAAGATTAATGCTACAGTCAATTCAAAAAATCAACAAATAAGATACATCAACTAGCACTTGGATACATCGAATTAAAGAGGAGACGATTTTGTTCTTGCCGTCTTTTCTATCAACTCTAATACTTTTTCCTGACTTTTGGAATTCTTTAGCTGCTCTGAGATTTTTGTAATTCTATCTTGTACTTCAGTATTCTCAAGCAATTCATCAACCAACTTATGGATTTCATCTTCGTCGTATCTGAATGGATCAACTCTCCGTCCAAGCTTCAAGTCTTCAAGCCTTTGTGCATTGTCAAACTGATCATAAAACATTGGCAATATGATCATTTTTTTACCGAAGTAAAGTGTCTCCACAGTTGTATTATTACCTCCATGAGTTAAAACCAAATCAACTTTGGGTAGGATTTCAAGTTGATTTACATAGTTTTCACCCCACATGTTATCTGGTAAAGTAAGCGCATCACCACGAGGACCTTTGGATACAATAAAGCGATGTTTACTTTTTGAGAAAGTATTGATTAAACGTTTCATCAAGGGTATATGGACAGATCCCAATGAGCCCATTGAAAGATAAATCAATTTTCCAGGTTTATTTGCTAATGACTCTGGAATGGTAAAATCAGATTCTTCAGGTTCACGTATAGAAAAATCCATGCGAACCCAATTAGATGGAGGTGGACCCAAATCTTGACCGTAATCTAAAGCTTCTGGATAGATATAAATACCAAAATATTTTGTAAAGGAGCCATATTTGAAAATAGATACAGATTCTAATCCGCACGATGTAAACCACCGGCCAAATTCGTCATTTATTGGCTGATAAACTTCTGTTTCTTTATCTCGGTAAATTTTCCAATAATCTCTATCTCCATTCACAGCTAGTCCAGCTTCTGGTGATATGCCGTAATCATAATAGAGTGCAAGAGGATTTGCTGAGTAAACCGGTATACATGGAATGGGTCCATTCACAAAAAGTGACAAAGCCAATATAACATCAGCTACCAAGATATCTGGTTTAATATCGTCCACTATTTTTGTCAGTGCATTATTCAAAAGCTTTAGTTCATCGATGACTTCCAAAAACATTTTAGTGTCATTTTCATCCCAATTTTCCAACCTTTCCATTGGTGTCAATTCCGCCTTCTTCAGATATTGTGTCATCATATCAACGAAAAAATCGGCATTCGCTTCGGTATAAGAGTCTTCATAGTCTTCCAGAGCAATAAATTTCAATCCACGTTTCTCAACCGAAGCTCGATGATGTTTTCGATTAGCAAAGTAAACATCATTTCCTCGTTTTTGCAAACTCTGTGCTATTCCAAGAGCTGAATTAAGATGTCCATATCTACAGCAAAATATTAATCAAATGTATTATACATCAGCATCATCATTATTGAACAAAGATATTTGTTAATTTGGTATGGAAAGAGTAACTTACGCGTCTATTGAAGTTACAACCACTTTTACTGGATCACTGGCCATTTTGAACAATTTTAATCAATATATGTCACTGGCTTCAATTTTCAAAGCCCAACACAACACTTCTGAACAACTAAAAAGATTGACAAGTAAATCTTGATCGTTACTGCTTGATGGCATTCATTTAAAACTTTTATAAAACCTTGTGTCGCTATCTCACCGTTGAATCACTCGACATTTATTATGTACTTGATTGTTTTTGCCGTCATTCCATTTCAACATTTCTTTTATCGATTATGCATAAAAGAGAGTTAACATTAATCTTCTGATTTATCTCGCATTCATATTGACTGAAAAATGTATACAAGTTTAATTTTGAAGGGGAAAGGGTAGAAAGGCTAAAGAGGAATCACTAGACTGGATTAATTGTTTGAACTGTCAAATTAATTGTTTACCCCTGTAGTTCACTCAAATGTCAGTACTCTATCAAATCAAAAAAAAACGGACTTTGACTGTATACATATATCAGATTCTTAATATGGAAAGATTTTGCGATAAAAACTCACAGATTTGCAGGTACAGTTATATTGCACTGATCTCACCTCAGAGTAGAGAAGATTATCTTAATCTTTGATAACGACTAACTGTGTTTTTTTCAGCCCAGTTACAAATAACTAGTTGCTCGCAAGTTACGAATTTCTTGCTACAAAATTCAAAAAAAATTCATTTCAAGATATTTTTTGGTTCTTTCCACTTCTTTTGAGAGTTGTTGTGAGTAATTTTTAAGTCAAATGAGTTCAACTGTTAGTTGAACTTTAACTTTGTATTTATTTAAAAATGAATAAATGTAATTTAGTTTAATAATTCTGATTTAATAACATTGGAATCATTGATCAAAATATTATTAATTAAATGCTGTAATTTATTCCTATGTTGGTTTTACTTAAATTTCAACTTAAATTACATTTAATTTACCTGATAATGTACATTAATGGCCAACACGATAAATTGAACAAATCAAAAGAGAAATAAAATGAGTAAATGTTGAGTTTTTATTTCTTGGGATCGAATGAACTCCTCGAGAGGATTGATTATAATGACAATGAAGACCTTAAAGGTTAATGTAACAATTTAAATGTTGAAAAAACAATGAATTTTACCATTCATTCAAACAGCATTCATTTCATGGTAAAGTTATGAAATTAGGAAAAAAACTGATGCAAATAACAATGGGAATTGAAGTTTAATTTTATGATGGAGTTGTCAATGATTCACAAATTACAAACTTATTTGTCAAACACTTTTAATGTACAGTGAAGTACCAGTAATTGCGACTCTCTTGAAATAGCAAAAAAGCTATTTTACGAGCAAATGTTTGCTAATTAGTACAGGTCATTGCAAAAATCTAATTAGCTTCGTTTAAGATCTTCTTTTGGCCAGATACTGAGGTCAATACTTGAAAGAGTTTCTAATTTTTTAAAGTTTAAGTTAAAAATCGCCGAAACCTGATGATTATAATCACATTTATTCAAATATTTGTATGTAAACAATCTATGTAAGGGGTCTTATATAAATTTAGTCGCAATTACCGTATCGGCGCACATAATGTCACGGTGCTTCAAAATGGGCTCGCTCAAATAACAGCACTTTTGCTGCCCATTTAGACGCTCATGGGCTATTATTAATGATCACTTTGAGCTTTTTCTCGACCGATTAGCAGAGAAAAAATTTGATCTTATGAATGCATTTCTATTAGTTAATTGAAAAATTCAAAATAATAGTCAAAATTTCTCTATTAACCGATCAATTTCGATTTTTACAAATTTTTCCTTTTCTGAGTTGACGCATGCTCAGTGACTAAAATTCTCACTTATTACGAGCGAGCTCGATCCGAGGCACCGTGACATTATGTGCGCCGATACGGTACTGGTACTTCACTGTAATGGAAAAAACTGTTACAAAATACTTTAACTAATCAGAAGTTCTTGGTTGCAAATATAAAGAACTCGTGGCTGAGGTTTAATTCTTAAAGATTTCATAAGGTACATTGAAAAATTATAAGTTGCTTAAAACTTTCATAATCAAATTATTTTGATGAAATTAAAAGCTTACGAATTTAGTTAAAACTTGTTATAATAAAAGTCTAAATAAAAGTCTCATAGATGGCGCGGTGGAAAAAAATTGCGCCATTTTTTGAATAAACTGGTTTTGTTTGATTTTATCACAACATCGAACAGTGATTTTTCCTAACAACGACGCGTTTAATGAGGACTGATTTATGTTTGATTTTTTGGGTTAACTATTCTTAGTAATTATAACATTATGAAAGACTTTGATTATATTTGTAAGTTTCCACTATCATTATCAGACAATCAAATTTTCTCGGTTTTTTGAAGAGTCAACTGATCGAAGAGTAATACTCTTTGCAACTGATGCTGTTTTTAATGTGTTTATTACTTGTGTTTACTGATTTTTCGGACTATTTCTAACAATGAACAATTCATATAATGATTTTGGAAATTAATCTCGTCAACCCGATAATCTATCTGCTGTAAGTTTACCTTTCATTTTAAATTTACATTACTCATGATAATTATGCTCAACCTTGCATCTTGCCTGCTTGTAAATTTAGAAATTAACAGTTCAGATTTGACAATTACCAGGGTTATTAAGACAGGGATTTTCATCATCTCTTTAGATTGACTAATTATTGATTCTAATCTATGAGCATGAAATAGGAAATAGACTCATGCAACCATTTCGCTTATTATGAGGCAAGTTTTGACCAGTTTAAAGCTTACCTAGAAATTGGGCCTGAAATACTTCCTTTGATAGTTGTCAAATTTCAACCGAATCCAAAGCTTATCTTAAATCCAGTGAACTATTTGTAATTAATCAACATTAATGCTCTTATGTTTATTTCTTTTATTTTTATTAACGCTGTTGTCAATTCAAAAAATCAACAAATAGATACATCAACTAGAACTTGGATACATCGAATTAAAGAGGAGACGATTTTGTTCTTGCCGTCTTTTCTATCAACTCTAATACTTTTTCCCGACTTTTGGAATTCTTCAGCTGGTCTGAAATTTTTGTAATTCTATCTTGAATTTCAGTATTCTCCAGCAACTCATCAACCAACTTATGGATTTCATCTTCATCGTATCTGAATGGATCAACTCTCAATCCAAGCTTCAAGTCTTCAAGCCTTTGTGCATTGTCCAACTGATCATAAAACATTGGCAATATGATCATTTTTTTACCGAAGTAAAGTGACTCCACAGTTGTATTATTACCTCCATGAGTTAGAACCAAATCAACTTTGGGCAGGATAGCAAGTTGATTAACATAATTTTCACCCCACATGTTATCTGGTAAAGTAAGCGCATCACCACGAGGACCTTTGGATACGATAAAGCGATGTTTACTTTTTGAGAAAGTATTGATTAAACGTTTCATCAAGGGTATATGGACAGATCCCAATGAGCCCATTGACAGATAAATCAATTTTCCAGGTTTATTTGCTAATGACTCGGGAATAGTAAAATCAGATTGTTCAGGTTCACGTATAGAAAAATCCATGCGAACCCAATTAGATGGTGGTGGGCCCAAATCTTGACCGTAATCTAAAGCTTCTGGATAGACATAAATACCAAAATATTTTGCAAATGAGGCAAATTTGTAAATATCTACAGGTTCTAATCCGAACGATGTAAACCACTTAGAGAATTCAATATTTATTTGCTGATAAATTTCTCTCTCCTTGTCTCTATAAATTTTCCAAAAATCTCTATCTCCATTTATAGAAAGTCCAGCTCCTGGTGATATACCGTAATCATAATAGAGTATGAGAGGACTTGCCGAGTATAGCGGTATACATGGAATGGGTCCATTCACAAAAAGTGGCAAAGCAAATATAACATCAGCTACCATGATATCTGGTTTCTTATCATCCACTATTTTTGTCAGCGCATTATTCAAATGCTTAAGTTCATCGATGACACCTAAAAACATTTTAGTGTCATTTTCATCCCAAGTTTCCAACCTTTCCATTGGTGTCAATTCAGCCTTCTCCATGTATTGTGTCATCATATCAACGAAAAAATCGGCATTCGCTTCGGTATAAGAGTCTTCATAGTCTTCCAGAGCAATAAATTTCAATCCACGTTTTTCAACCGAAGCTCGATGATGTTTTCGATTAGCAAAGTAAACATCATTTCCTCGTTTTTGCAAACTCTGTGCTATTCCAAGAGCTGAATTAAGATGTCCATATCTACAGAAATATATCAATAAAATTTATTGTTCATCAGCAACCACTTTCTTAAACAAAGATATCTGGTAATTGGGTATGGAAAGGATAACTTACGCGTCTACTGAAGTTACAACCACTTTCACTGGATCACTGGTCATGTTGGACAATTATAATAAATTATATGTCACTGGCTTCAATTTTCAAAACACAACACAACACTTTTGAACAACTAAAAAGATTGACAAGTTAATCTTGATCGTTTCTGCTTGATTGGCTTTTATTTAAAAGACGTATGAAACCTTGTGTCGCTATCTTCCAATTGAAGCACTCGACAATTATAATGCATTTGATTGCTTTTGCCGTCATTCCATTTCAACACCCATTGTATTTTTATCGATTATGCATAAAAGAGAATCAACATTAATCTTCTTATTTACCACCCATTCATATTGTTTGTAAAATTTATAATTGCTATCTGTTTGATTGTAAATTATCCGGATCAAGTGAATTTTTCCTTCACATTTCTTGATCATTATATTACAAAAATCAAATTAATTTTTGCCTTTTCCACCACATAATTTGTCACTTTGTATACGGCCAACATGAACTCTCTGATTATTAACAATTGAGTTCCGAGCTCCAAGTGAGGGACTAAACTCGGTCCTACTTATTGTTGAAACAAAAAAGACCACGTAAAATAATGGATTTTTCATTAGAGTAATTCCTTAAAATCTCATTGGCATACACAGACATTTGTGAATTCATCTTTACTTTATTTCATTAAAAGTGTTTCCAAACACTTTACTGGCCAATTGTTACTCGGCAGATAGTGTATTAAAAACAGTAATATCATGATCAAAAATCTAAGACGAAAAATTTGATTCATAAAATTGATTAAATTGGATTAAATTGTTTGAAAATTCCCTACTCGATATGGCAAATTCAGTTTATGGTCATTCATTTATCACTATAATTTTCCTGACTTTTGGAGTCCTTTAGCAGTTCTGAAATTTCAGTATTCTTAAACAACTCATCTGACTAATCTTAAACTGAAATACGTGGGATTAAGGTAACAAAACAGCCCAAAAATGATCAAATCATTATCGATTCCAATTCCTTCAAACCAAATTGATCTTTAGATTTTGTAAGCTTCTTAATTTGTCTCTCTTTACAAACCTTAATCAACTAATACTAGCCATTATATTAATGATTTCATCTGTGAATCTTGAGCATAACAGTGAATCGATGAGTCTCAAAAATAACCTGAAGCTTTTCATAATCTAAAATTGATTTCAGGGTAAACAATGATATGAGAATAATTTGATTGATCAGTGTTAACTTGTTAATGCTCAAGTAAACTTGAAGCTTTTATCTCATTCCCCCCTTTGGCCTGTTGATGATAATTAACTTGATAAATTGTGAACCAGAAATTTGAGTACAGCTGGTCTAATTGCGAAAGGTGAACACATTGTAATAACAGCAAATTTACTGATTAAATTAACATGAGCAAATTAGAGGAATCGACTTACACATTATCACATTTTCAAGCTTCAAATTTAACAATAGCCTGAGAAAAGCAAATTGTTGGTTACAATAAACTGTCGACTTAATTATCAACAATACTAAGTGGTAATGTTAAATCTTAATTATGCTAATAATGCTGGTTTAATGTAAAAATCTGTATCCATATATCAGATTGAAATTAATATGGAAAAATTTTGAGATAAAAGCTGACAGATTGCGAGTACAGTTTTATTGCACCGATCTCACCTCAGGAATAATCAATTGACTTTAATCAATATTTTTTCCTCATTGAGTACCAATAGATACAATCAAATTGCTATCAGCTGGCCAAAGTAAATCAATTCAGAACCAGAAAAGAAACAGAACAATCAGCTAATCTATTTATGCTGTTAGACTATACAATTAGTGACATTTTGGAGACACAATTTTATACGGTAAACAACTGCTTTAAGTACAATCTTATATCAACAATGCTCTTAATCTTGGAGCCATTGATTGTTTACATGTTGAACCATTTAATGGTAAACAACAGCGTTTTTCAATTAATCTCAAATACACAATGCTAATTGACTTAATGTTTCATGGCAATATTTTTCTATATCATTGAAATTGTCAATGCTTTTATAAATAATGGACGGGGAAATATTTAAGATTTATTAATACATTACATCTATTTTTGTAATTTATCTGGTTTGCTTTCCAATTGTATATTGTAAACCTAATTAACAATTTTTCATTCTCTTCTTTCACTTAGCTTCAAGACCATTTGACTGACAAGTTAAATTTGATTATAATAACTTGAGATCATACAAAGTTATGGTTGATTAAATTAAACCTTCAATCATGAAACTGTCAACTTGATCAAAAATGATATAACGTTTAGCTAGTTATAGCCTAAGAATCTGAAATTTTGTTAGGTTTTGACACACACACACATATGTAATTTAGTAATTAAGAAGCCTACAAATATATTGTTTATCATCCAGTTTGTCTGCCTTTTGATTCCAGATTCCAGTGATTTGTTGGTGAAAAGGTAAAGTAACTGAATAATGTTTCATAACGATTGGCCAATCACCTGTACCAGTGTAGAGAAAGTTTGACCAAAGGTTCATCATGTAAGAAGAAACCAATCTATCGGAATCCGAGTAATGGGAACAATAACTATAGGGAAAACCAAATATCAGGGAAACATCTTCAGTGTGATAGGCACCAAAGAGTTGTGCCAAGTCAAGATCGCCCAAATGGTTTGATTTGTAGGTATAAGAGTAAAGGTAGACTCTGTTGTATTTTGACCATTGCGAGGACAACATTAAATTAGGACAGTGCCAGCAAATGTCATTGAAAAGGTTGAAAACAGCTTCAGCAATTTGTCTAATATCACCAGTTTTACAGTCATTAAAATAATATTCCAAGACTCTTTCAATGTTGCCAGTTGAATTGTCTTTTAAAACAGTTTTTATCTCATTTCTCATTCTATCTCGAACCACATCGACATTCCAGGTTATTTGAGTGATACCACGAGCTGATTCAACTGGAACTCGGCCCACTAGAATTGATATGTCCCGACGAAAGTCTCCTTTAGATAACATCGAGTCAGGAGATTCAGGAAACATGGGGCTACCATAGAAGGGTAAGAAAATTTCAAGAGAACACATTTCACCCCATTCAAAAATCTCTTTGTTTACATCAGGTTGAGCTTCAATCAAATCGTAAGCATCTTTAGCCATTAGACAGTCAATCTCGTACTGAGACAACTGGTCATCAGTAACTTCATTATAATGGCTTTTATCAACATTTGCCTCTGAACAACCAACTTTAGAGACCAGTTTTCTCGTCTTGGCCAAAGCAGCAGATCGTGAATCGGTTGCTGATCGTGAGGTTGCCGTTCCTGACAAAATAGCAGCACTTTTAAATAAATATCTTGATTGGGTCGAGAAAAGATGAAGAGATGCAAAAGTGGCACCAGAAGAGTGACCAGAAAGGGTTACCTGACCAGGATCACCACCAAAGGCTGCAATGTTTTGTCTTACCCAAATAAGGGCTGCTCGTTGATCATAAAGAGCCAAGTTACCCGGAATTAATTTATCATGGCCATACATTAAACCAAACAAACCTAAACGATAGTTAAAGGTAACTACAACTACGTTTGCCTTGGCTGATAGATAGCCACCATAAAAAAGAGGATCTGCTGATGATAAATAAACAAAAGCACTTCCATGGATGTGAACAGATACAGGTAGTAAAGGTTTAACTGAACCAGTTGATGAGTCTTGTGGTAAGCTATCTAATGGAGTGTAAACATTCATGTACAAACAATCTTCTGATATTGGAACATGTGAGAAGTTTAAGATGAGGGAAATCTTTTGCATACAAGCTGTACCATAATCGAAAGCTTTGAAAATCTTGTCCTCATCTCTTCCATCAGCCCCATAACCATTCCTTGGCTGTAAGGGTCGAGGCTTTTTAAAACGTAAATCACCAATTGGTGGTTGAGCATAAGGAATACCCAAGAAATGAGCAACCTTAATTCCTTTTAATTTACGAGTAAACCCTTTTATTATCGACCATCTTGTATACACTAAAGGTTGATCTGGTTCCCAAGTAGCATCAGGAGCATCAACAGCATCCTGATATTGATCACATTGATAATCACCAATTGATTTATTGAAATACTGGTTGTTATTGTTGTTACGGTTGCTTGTCTCATCCAATTCAATTGTACCATTCACTTTGTTTATGACCAAGATCCAGTTGATTGCTGTAAAAGCAAGTAAACAGTTAACTTTAATCATTACAGCTTTAAATTACACTTAATACAACTCTAACCTCTATTTAAACTGTTATTTGGTTTCCACTTTAATTGTAACAATTACAATTTTATGTTTGCTTCACCATTTTCCCGGTCAAAACCATTTTACAACTGGTAACATCATCATGTGCACATAACGTCAAGGCAAAGACAGATTTCAATAAAGGGCCCAAGTGACCGTCTGTTAATTGAAAGTTACAAGGTTACATTACCAATCTAATTAATATTAATAACATTTAACATTAATAATTAATACACTGTTAACTTATTCACACATTTTTAAATCTCACTTCATGTAACTCAAGTACTAATCAAATTGTTACACCAACATGTTAATAAGTCAATGTACACAACTATTAGCTCTATACAAAGCAAAAGCTTTACCAGATTTACATGTCACACAATTTCCATTGTTACTCCATTGTAACTATCAACTTTCAACTTTCATTTCACTCTTTAACACTAATTATATGCCCATCAAAATCAATTTAAATCATGTATTAATCAACATTTTGTCAAATGGATTGATTTTTGATTACTCGATAAGACCGCTTAATTGCAAGACCATAATTAATTTAATAATATAATGGGACTCAATCTAAATAAAGTCACTATTTTCTAGCTGTTGTTTGACTTTATTATTTGACTTTTTTTTTCTTGCACATCGATTCTGATGTTGATTAATCAAATTAACCATTCAATTGATTTTATTTAGTTTTATTGAACCCAATGAGATTCCCTTTAATTTTGTCATCCTTTTATGTGCATCTCTTCAACTGATCTTAATTAAATGATCATTTTCTTAATTGTAACTTAAAATAAATAGACAAAAATGGTTTCCATTGAATAATAAGTAAACAAGCAAAAAAAGGTTTGTTCATTTAATGTAAATGTTTTCCTTGGATTGGGTTTAATTGTTGAAATAAAATCAATAACAGCAAATGTCTACCACTTTCAAGACTATTTACTTGGTTAAATAATCAGATAATTTGATGAGTCCAGCTTGCATCGTATGATTAAACACCATCCATTGAATATTCCCAAATATTATCCAAAGACACAAAAGGACACTAAACCAGAATCTTCTCAGAAATTCAAAATTCAGTCGATAAGCGGACTTGTTACAAAAGGCCAGGTTCCCAAATAACCAGACTAGATGTTAGACTTGAATAATGACCATGGTTCCATGAGAAAAACCAAAAAAAGCTCTTCCAAGTCGATAACTTAAGGATCCTAGAAACTGGTTAACTTGCGATACCAAAAAAAGTACCGTTTGATTCCTAAGGCAAGTCACCAAGCAGTCAACGATTGGGTGAAAAGGAGTGTTTCTGCCAAGCAAACCATTACAGTCTTTCTGGATTAACAGGTTGATTGATTGAGTCTGTAAGAAGATGAAAATAATTAAAATGAGATTATATTTGTAAAACTACAATAAAAAAGGCTATTAATTTAAGGCTGTAACAGACTAAAAAGCAACTGTATCCAATCTTGCTTACAAAATGTCACCTTAAAAGGTGTCTCTCTTCTCATTCCCTATTAATCTTGTCTCTTTTACCTCGACATCTTCAATTTGGTTAAGAGTCGATACATCAAAGGCTCTATTCACCTCTTTTAACCCTCAATTCCTTTACATCTTAATATATATTAGTCTTTAATGGTTGACCAGCAAAACAAAAGCTTTTCACACTCTACCCTATCAACTTGTCAATGAAGACAAAGTCACTTCAAGCTACACAGACGGGCAAAACCTTTGCTACTTCACCCATCTTCACCACTCTAATTGCCAAAATTGTTTCATCTAATTAATATAAAACTAAAAACTTGAGACTAAATATCAAGACTAACAATAACATGATAAAGATTAACATTAAATAGTAATGGAAAACAAAGTCTTACCTTTACAATGACGATGAACCCAAAGTAAACCAGTTTTTGAGCATTCAATCTCCAAACGCATTTCGATGAAACGATTACAACCAAAATTGAAAATCCCAGGGAAACTAAAGATGACTCGATTAGCTCTATTATTGGTTACAATTAACAATTAACGGTCATAAGAGTAAAAAGACTAAAACATAAAAAAGATGCTTTACACAGAGACTTACTTGTTTACATTGGTTTCCCTCAATACAGGATTGCTATACCAACAACTGGAAATGTTGGAATGCTCAAATGTATAATATTATTGTATTAACTTGCAGCAACAATCATTAGATTAATTGTTAAGGGGGCTAAACGTATAAAAACAACTCAACTAAATTAACTATGAAGAGTAAATAATTTGGGTAAACAACAAGCACCACCATCATCATCAAAATGATACTGACAGCAACAAAATTGTAATATGGTTTAATACAATACTTACAATTTGCGAAACCAAAGATCAACAAAAAAAAGTACAAATAATACAAATGTAATATCACCAGAAAAACAAAAAAAAACCTTAAACAATATGGATGAATGAACAGCTCAAGAATGAAGAAACCCGAGCAAAGTAAATGGATACAAGAAAAACAAGAAGAAAATATTAACCAACAGTGATCTAACATTACCTAATGGTAACAATTAACTTGGTCAGTTAAAGTGTAAAACAATAATAAAAGGTCAAGTGCGAGATATTGAAAGCTTCAACAGACTAACAGATACTCGTTTATCAGGCAACATTCAGCAAAATGAAATCTTAAACGTTGAGACTTCATCTCTACCAAGTTAGCTGCTTGGATTTCAACTTATGGGCCAAATTAAAAGTAAATTTAAATTGAAAAATTTTGTATTTAATTAAATCTTTATCAAAAATTAATTGATCACCATATTGAGATCGTCAAAATACAAATCTTGTCAATCTTTTCCGATTGTATCGAGAGCAATATCGATTAAAATCATCAATTAAAACGATTTATCGCGATTTAACCACAGAAGCACTGTTACTCAAAGAGCATCAATTTTCCTGGTTAACCCAAAAGGTTATCAATCTGGTTAAAACCAGGAAAAAGATCAATGAATTTGAACAGTAAATGGACGACAATCAAGGAAATGATTTTTTAAATATTATTTTTCACTTTTAAATGAATAATGTTTTCAGGTTGAACCAGTTTTTAGGATCAACTTGAATATTTACCCAAACTCAACCCATAGTCTTGCAGCACCCTGTAAACCCTTGAATAATGCTGACACCGGCGATTGAAATTAATCAAGTAAACAAAGGTTTTCTTTTCATCGAAAGAAGATAATGATTAACCTTTACCAGCTTAAAGCCCAGGTAAACTAATTAATCTAATATGATTACAATTGTTTACCCTTGTTGTTGCTCATTCCCAATATTAATCTTATTTTTACATTTGGATTGTGATTTATTTGCAATTACATTTTTAATGGAAACACCAAAACAGAACCAGAAAAGTACAGTCAACTTGACCAGTTATTATATTTTAATCACAACATTGATTAACCAGTGATAATGGGTTAAACCATAAAAATGATCAAAGACCAGGCATAAATGGCCATTGTACCAACTACAATTGAAACCGCAAAACCAAAACAAAACCAAAATTTTTTGTCCCTCATTTATTATTACCATTATGAAGACAGCCTTAAATCATTTCGCCTTTTAACCAATTAAACATTAAATGTTATCAACATCAACATTGGTCATTGTTGTCTAAACGTTTCCAAAAAGCGTTTTTAATAAACAATAAAATGGGAATAAAACATTAAAAAAAGTAACCAGAAAACAGGTCAGACTATAGAGAGAAACTAAGAGAACCAGAAAAAATCGTTAATTTTAAATCTTGTTTCACCATTTATAATAACTCTATTGTTAAACTCATCCTCATCATTATCAACAACAACATTAATCTAATATTATCAGTTAATGAGACTCTTTTTTTTCACTCCAAGCTTTTGTTTAATACACTTTTCCTGAGCTTTTTTCACTCTCATTGTAACCAGCAACTCTTTTCCCTCAAAATGTTCAACCAAATGTTACTTTTGTTTCCAAAACCAAGTTGGACTCGGAAACGGGGAAAAGCTGGAAAACTCTGAAAGCCGGAAATTTATTGAACCATCAAACCAGAGAAAGAGAGAGAGAGAGAGAGAGAAAAAGTTTTGAAAATGAACCAAAAGAAATGACAAAACGAAGTAAAACCTCGAAAAATTTATATTCAATCAAAAAGTGTGAAAATGAAATTAATGAAAGTTGTTAATTAACTTGAAAGACAGGAGAAGGAAGAAAAAGGTTTTTGACTTTGAAATTGAACTTTGAATGTTTATCCATTTTCATGAGAAAGTGATTTTAAAAAATGAAACTTTTCTCAATCAACTTTTCTTGCAAGCTTCATCATCAATTTCATTTCATTTCACCATTCCAGATCATCAACATTCTTCAACAGACTTAACACTGGTTCAGTTATGGCAACCAGAATGTGTTCATTTTTCACAGGCAAAGGGATAAAACATGGATAATTGATGGGCGAAGACCAATGAGTCAAGAAAAGGAGTCAGCTTTTTGGGTTGGGAAAAGATTTTCAAAATGGATTCATTGGGAAACAAGAAAAAAAGAGAAGCAGAAAAGGTTGAAACGTAAAAGGGTAAAAAGGAGAGAAAAGAAGGGAAGAAGAAAGAATAAAAGTCACCAATTTCATGTGAAAAAGAAAAGATTACATGGAAGAGAATAAATTATGTCGAAAAGAGATGAAGATGGTGCAAAAATGTGCTATAAAGCTATATATATTTATAAAGGTCGTTAGCTTCAGGTTTAACTCTGTTTACATTTGACTCCACCTAATATTGATGATGATCGTTTCTATCTGAATCCATATTTGCTCTTCATCATTCAACTCATTTTCTGATCATCATCTTCACTTATTTTGCCTTGTTTCATCTTGTGCCAGCAGAAATGGTGAAACAAGGCAAACAATCATCAATAAAAAACACACACACAGGCACAGGTTCAGAATTGAACTCAACTTAACCAACAGAAATCAACATGAATCTCAACATGACTCTGAACAATTATTTATTATACTTTGTATCTCATCTTCATCATGGTTTATATATATAACATTCACAAGAATAGGAGTGAATAAAGAAGAAAAATATTGCTAGAAAGAAGAAGAAGAAGAAGAAGGAAAAAAGGAAAATCTTTTCCTACAAATGATTCAACCTTTTCTCTCTTGTTGGCTTTTTCACTCCCAAGGAATCACCTTTTCCTTTCAATTGATTCCCATCATTATCATCATCACACTCATTTACCTCATTTTCAAAGAATCTTTTTTATTCAATCAACGGAAAATAGCCTCGAGTCTTGCAATTCATCATTAACATTCTTCGAGTCAACAATTATAGATAACAATTTTGTTGACAAATTGAACAGACAATTTCTCACGAGTCTAATTCATTTTCCATGAATAACTGAACAAAATTTGAAAAGAAAAATTCAGCTTCAATTTAACCTTTTTTTATCGATAATATTCATGTCTAGAGAAGCAAAGGGAAGAGGAAAATTTTCTTGACCAACAGAATTTTTTATCTTATCCTTAAAAATGACTGAATATTTTTACATATTTTTTTCCCTCCCAGTGAGGAGTGAAGAAAGAGAAGAAGGAAATAAAGGAAAACAAGAAAAGGATTTTCAGATAAAGAATGCGATACAAGGAGATAACAAAAGAGGATACAATTGTTATCATGAAATAAGAACCTGGATTGGAAATAATTCTTAATTCGAAGGACAAAGAATGGAGAAAGATGATGATAAAGCTGGGAGTGAAAAGGGTAAAGTAAGAAGAGAAGGAGAAAAAAAGGATAAAAAATTTATTTTCTTGTCAAGCTTCAATGAATTGGAAACAAGTTAAAACGATTTATTCAATGAGAAGAAGAAAATTATTCTCGAAAAATTTTTGCCGATTGGAGTTAAACCAGATGATAATGATGAAGGGATGAAGACAATGATGAGAATGAAAGAAAAGGCAGAATGATGAAAAAAGAAAAACATTGAAAGAGAAAAGAAAAAGAGAAAAAAAATTAAACTCTCGAATCTGATGAAAGTGAATCATGTTCATCATGATGATATTAATATAGTCATGATGATTATGATGATGATGATGTAAAAGTGAATGAATTTCATGCAAGGATGTCCTGTTGTCTCATCATCCTTTTGTCCTCTGTCAATGTTTCAATGGAAGGCAACATTCATTTTACACCGAATGAAGAAGAAAAGGAAAAAAAAGAGAAAAAAGATAAATGTATAACTGAACTTGGAATTTCATTTCCATCAGATTACAATTTTCCTTTTCTTTTCGCCTCTCTTTTCCCTCTAATTTCCTTCCATGGATTCATGGATAATAATCATCAGATTTGAAGGATTCTTGTGGACTCCTTGAAAGACCTCAGACTATTGTACATTCATTGGTTGATAAACACTGTATAATGTGCTAATAAAGAGTCTAGTTTTTCAACCGATTCATCATTACCATGCTATTGAATCATATTCATTGACCTTTTCAACCTTTTCTTCATTTCCCTTGCAAACCAATTTCAATCTCTTTTCATGATAACCTTTAATCAAACCTCTGACAATCTTGATCAATCGGTCCAAGAAAATTTTCATTTTTTCTCCTCTTTGCTTCTTTGAAATTGATTCGTAAATGAATCATGTATTACATGGAAAAGGCAACATTTTTGGAGAAAGTTTTTTCTTCTCTACTTTTTGCTGGTAAAAATTCTGGTTTCAGAGAAAATGTTGAGATAATTGAGTTGAAAGAGAAAAGGAAATTTTTCGCAATCTTCCATCAATGCCAATGGACACGTCATGTAATGCAATAATTTTTTTTTCTTCATTCGTTGGTTGAAAAGTAAATCATCTTTCAGCAAACATGATAAAATTTTCTTCATATGATAATATGAAATGGAAACTTCTTTCAACCTTTCACATGCAAAGAACTGAATGTTCGGACCTTTTTCTCTTTCTTTTTGATTTTCTGTTTTTAGGTTCAATATCGAGTTGAAACTTTACTTTTCATCATTTGCTTTCAACTTTATGTTAAAAGCATACAAACTTATAAATAGCATTCATTACATATGCATATGTACATGAGATAATAATATAAACAGAAGACTTTGACTAACCAAAGATAGTGAAATGAAGGAACCTTAATTTGCTCAAATAAATCAAATTATGAACATTTTGTTGAGATTTTTTCTTCTTTTTCTTCATCTTTTTTTTTCTTTCGTTTACATCTTTTTTTGTGTGCTTCATATCAACCACTTTTCATCTTGTTGCTGCCTTTTTCTTGACTTCATCTTTGCATCTTCATCTAAGTTGATTTACAAATCTTGTTTAACTTTAATTTTGTTATACATTTAAAATGAATACAATCCGACATTTGGTTACAAAGTTTATCAGAAAGTCTGAGTTCATTTTTTCTGCCTTTCAAGTGGCCTTTTTTTATCCAATCTTGTTGAGTAAAATGTTTGCTAGTTGCAAAGTTTCAGATTATCAGGATTTTGTAGGAATTGATTGAAACACCAAATGGTACAAGGGAAAGAGAAGGAGCGAAAAAAAATGATTCACAAGATTAATCAAAAAATGAACCGACGATAAAGAGTCAAAACTAATAAGCTGTAAGTGATTATCTGTCTTGTTTTTTTGGAAGATTGTTTAAACGAAAACAAGGAGAGAAGAAAAAAGTTTCAATGGTTGAAACAAATCTCTTTTCGGATTTTAGGATTGATGATAATAATCACATGTAATTTATTAAAATTGTCAGCTTTAAATGGTGCTCTCAACTGATGAGTTATAAAGTAGATCAAATGAAAGC